AAAACTGGATCCATAACTGAAGTTGATCTAGTCCTCCCTTAAGCACAGAGGCTGGCTGGTTGACTTAGGGCCAATTACTCTCTCTCAACCCTGGACTAGGAAATTGAAAAACAGCTATCTACCAACTTGCCTGGTAGATTATGGTTGATAACCTTCAATGAAAAGGATGTCATCCTTCAGTGAATAGATTTAGGCTGATAACAACAGCAGCAGCAACAACAATACACTCCCAGTGAAGAGGTTTCTTTGATTTTAAATGACATGTATACACATTGTTCTTCAAATATTGTTAATATTCTTGATGGCAAATGCTCATAAACTTCAAAAGAAATGATTGCACTTGTCTCATTTGAAACAGGCTGGAAGCTGTGGTCAGTTCTTCTGCATGTTATATTCATGTGATACTGATACACGACAAGAGGAACTGGAACATAAGAGGACACATACATTTAAAGAGCATTTCTGCCTTATTCCCTGTATGAACCCTCTCTCTAGTTTCACAGCCTAGAACAGGCATTAGCAACAACTGCCTTAGTCTTTTAAACCTTTCCCAACTATGCCACTGATAATGTGGTATGTGGAGAATTCATACTTCAAATGCCCTCCCTACTCATTCCTGTGCCTTCCATTAGTACAGATTGTTCCCAACAGCTGTGAGAACAAAAGGCATTAATAGGATCTTTTCAGAATGATTCATAGCTTATTTGGAAGCCCACGAGAGGAATGATGTGTGTGGATCATCTTTCTGGAATCCATTTTTATTCAAGGTGGATAAGAGGTAGGACTGAGTCAAAAGGTATGTTTGTATATGAGTGCACTGAAATCTTCATTAAAGTTGAAAAAAGACGCACTTTTCACTCTTTGGAGGGAGCACTACGGCCGGACTGAGCATTTTTGTATCAAAGCTAAAAAAAATTGAGATGATCACATTTGGCACATGATCCCTAATAATCCTAGATAGAAATAAAATAGAGGAACAACTAACTACTAAAATGTAAAATTACTAGTTACTAAATTAGTAATTACTGAGTTATTAAAGGGTGTGCCTGGAAATGGAATAGGAATTCATAAGTAACTTTGAATAATGTTAAAACATGCATTAGATGGCTATGGAAATCTTTTAAACTGTGGACTGAACTTCCTGATTGGATTTCCAGCTCACACAAAATACCTTTTTCATGTCTGACTTGTTAGAGCCTAGCCATACCATTACAGCTCAAGACATTAGTCCACTTACTTCCTAGAACCTGAAGAAAGAAAAAAAGAGTTGGGTGGTATCTTTTTAATATTGACACAGAACTCCAAATCTCAGGACGCTTGGGATGGGGGCACACAGAGAGGCCCCATCTACAGCAACTTAATGCAGCTATGACCTGTCTTATCACTGTGTTCCATATGGTGGTCACCTTTAAAGCCCTTCATGGCTTGGGGCTGGATTGCATGATTGCCTCATCCCAGTGGTGTCTACCCATCCTGTTAGATTTGGCAAGAGATTTGGCTACAGGTCCTAACCACAAGAGAGTGCCATCTGGCAAGACCCAGGAAGAAGGCCTTTTCTGTTGTCGCACCCCGCCTTTGAAGCATTACCCCACCACCCCGAGATCAGACTTACTTTGACCCTGCTAGCCTTTCTTGAGGCATTAAAATTTTGGTTTTGCCATCAAGCCTAAGGCCCTGAGAGTGTGGACGAGTCCATTTCTTGGTTATATTGATTGTGGGATGCTATTAAGTATTCTAGGCTGCTATTTTATGGTATTTAGGTTTACAATTTTGGTTGTGTTTTTATTCTGTGTTATTGTCATCCACCCAGAGTCATGTATATGAGACAGGAGCCATATAAATTTATTAAAGTACATGCCTATGGCATCAGTGTATGTACAAAAGGAGCAAGTACGTCAACCATCCTGCTGTGACTACCATTTTGCCTTTTCTGAGACCTACTCCGTCCTGGAGGCTGAAGGAATGCAACACTAGAAGTTTGGAGTGCACCTTGAGATTAATAAAGTTGTTGAGAGTTGGGCAGCATACAAGTTTTCTTCTCCTTCTCCTCTGCCATTATCAATCCCTTCTACTATATAAACATGATAGACTTCATCATTTACAGACCCCTCTTGCATTTATGCACTAGAACCAAAAATGATAGAAATAAAATGACTCACAGAGAAAAAAATAGGACAAAAATGTAAGAGTAGCCAGTTAAAGACTAAACATTTCCAGTAAGAGGTCAGAAGTCAGGGCTAACCGTTTTTCCATTCAAGATCTTCACATGCCAGCAGGACACCAATGGAGAAGAGGCTGGCAATTTCTTCCTTAGCATGGCTCAGCTTGGCATTTCATTGGGCACAAGAGTCATTGCAAAGCTTAGGAAATGGTTGCTTAGCTGTGAAATGGCTAGTTTTTAGATAGCAAGAATTTATACATTTATTTTATAAATACCAATCCAATGAACATTTTCCATTTGAAAATGATGGGCTTATGGATTTCCAGGGAAGAAATGGCGGACTGAAGATGGCGCTGTAAAAAGTGGAGCTGATGACTGGAGCAGAATGAAGAGGTGGCGAGTAGACCAGCTCTTCATAATTCCTCTCTGGACGAGGAGGACTTGAGATCACCCACAAGCACTCCAGACAGTTGCTCCTCACAAGGAGTCTGCAAGACAGTGGTCTCTGGTGGGTTTAGAGCTCTAGGAGATGAGGGAAAGCCATCTTCGCTGAAACCATGGTTGGTGCCTTCAAAGGGAACTCTGGGTTTGTATACTTCATTTTCTAATCAATTTCAGAAATTGCTTGTTAACTGCTTTTCAGCTATTAGGAACCTTTGGATTGACAGGTTTTACAGCACTGGGTAAGTTTCCGTCAATCCTTATCGAAAGATGTTTTAACTACAAGTTTAAGAACTTTAAAAAATTATTTTTGGAATAAACAGCAAAAGGGTGATTAAAACTGTGATTTTAGAAA